GAGCTCCACCGAAGGTCCCAATAAGGGTGTTCGCATGCGTCTCCCCCACCCAGGACAGCGTTTCGTGGCCCCATAGGGAGCTCCACCGAAGGCCCAAGTGGGGGTGTTCGCATGCGTCTCCCCCACCCAGGACAGCGTTTCGTGGCCCCATAGGGAGCTCCACCTAAGGTCCCAGTAGGGGTGTTCGCATGCGTCTCCCCCACCCAGGACAACGTTTCGTGGCCCCATGGGGAGCTCCACCGAAGGTCCCACTGGGGGTGTCATTTCGGCACACCCCTCACACGCTTCGTGGCTCCATAGGGAGCTCCACCGAAGGCCCCAGTGCCCGCGGCCGCATGCGTCCCCCACACCCATTTCGGCACACCCCTCACACGTTTCGTGGCTCCATAGGGAGCTCCACCGAAGGCCCCAGTGCCCGCGGCCGCATGCGTCCCCCACACCCATTTCGGCACACCCCTCACACGTTTCGTGGCTCCATAGGGAGCTCCACCGAAGGCCCCAGTGCCCGCGGCCGCATGCGTCCCCCACACCCATTTCGGCACACCCCTCACACGTTTCGTGGCTCCATAGGGAGCTCCACCGAAGGCCCCAGTGCCCGCGGCCGCATGCGTCCCCACACCCATTTCGGCACACCCCTCACACGTTTCGTGGCTCCATAGGGAGCTCCACCGAAGGCCTCAGTGCCGCCGCCCGCATGCGTCACCCCCACCCATTTCGGCACACCCCCCGCATTTCTCGCACGGCAGGGTCATCACCACGGTGGCGTGCCAGGGGCGCACCATGCGCGAAGGCGACGGGGCGGGGGAACGGCGCTCCGGGGGCGGCCAGACCTCCGGGGCGCGAGCAGTCCGCGGCCAGACCATCTCTCGGTCCTGTGGACTCTCGCCCTGGGCCGTCGGCTGCCCGGCGCGCTGCTCCCTCGGTCGACGTCGCCCAGGCGTGATCCTGGATTGCGGCCGCCACGAGGTAGGGAACGGCAAGAAGGAGGACGACGACTGGTGGCTGGAGCTCTACGTGCTGCTCTCGCGCGCCACGCGCCACGAGGACCTCCTGCTCATGCGGGCGCCGCGCATCGAGTTCTTCCTGGCAGGGCCGCCGCAGGGCTTGCGGAAGCAGCTGGAGCAGTTTGCGGCGCGCACGAAGCGGTGCAGGAGGGAAGCGACGGCCCTCGCCAGGGAGCTCGGCTTCACCGAGTTCATCCGCGAGGCCTGACCTGAGGAGCGTCTCCCCCGAGCCGCGCCTTCTCTCGACTGCCCGACTAATTGTTTGGCCTCGCGCCGCGGACGACCCGCGCGCGTCGCTGGGACCCTCTCGGGGCGACCAGCGCGCGTCGCGGGAACTCCGTGCTGCGGGGGGCCCGGCGCCTCGTTCGCCCGTCGTCGCTCTGCCCAGCGGTCAGAGACTTGCCCGCTATCAGCCAGCCAGTTAGCTAGTCAGCTCTCTCTGCTTCGCGCAGCGGACGACCCGCGCGCGTCGCTGGGACCCCGCCCGGGGCGACCAGCGCGCGTCGCGGGGACTCCGCGCTGCGCTGCGCCCGCAGCCTTGGATTTTGGAGTGCGCGGGCAAAGAGGAAGGAAAAGAAGAGCCGAAAGCGGGCGCGATCCTCGCAAGAGGCGTGCCGACATGGGCGTCGCGACGTGCGGACGCTGCCGTCGGGGTTCCCGCGGAAGCTGCCTGCGGCGGCCACGCCCAGTGTCACGTGTGTTCGGACAGGCATGCTCGACACTTACACTAGGCGGTTCCATGATCGCATTCATGCAAATATATTCACTCGCGCGCAGACCCATTCATACTCAGATTCCCTCGCGCTCTGACTCACCCGCGTTCTTTCTCTCGTAATCAGATCAATCGTAATCCATTGCGTTGTGTACCCCGCCACATTTCGGCACACCCCTCATGCGGTTCGTGGCCCCATAGGGAGCGCCACCGAAGAAGATACTCCCAATTGCGATACTCACAACTGCATATGGTTGGGTCCTTCGCCAGGATAGTTTTTTCATCACAGAGGCTTCCGAGGGTAGATCTCTTCGAGAGCCTCGGGGCCGCGCTAGCCACCCAAGGGAGCACCATCGGCGACCCAAGACGAGACCAGAAATTCGATCACACGCGCGCCGAGGCAATTGAGGCAATCGTGTGATGGCCTCTCCTCATGTCTCCGTTTTCTCCTCCTTGCTCCACGCTCCTCGCCGTTCTCCCGTCGCTCCTGGCCTCTCTCTCTCTCTCTCTCTCCTCGCGCTTGACTCATCGCCTCGTACTCCTCCTCGCTCCTCCCACCTCTCCTGGCCCTTCCCTCCTCCCCCTTGACTCCTGGCGTCCGCCTTCCCCTTCGGCTCTCCCTCATTCCCCATGGCCTCTCTCTCGTTCTATCTCTTCTCTTTTCGATCGATGTTCCCCTCATCGCTCCTTGCTCCTTGCTCCTCGCTGATCGCTCCTCACTTCCTCCCCCCAGGTCCACTCACGAACTCCAGGGTGCGTCAGCTGCCAAAGATACCAAAAACAGCACGGCCTCAAGTAGCAACAGCGAACAGCAGCAGTCCGCAGCAAGCAGCGGCAGCACACAGCCAGAGTTCGCAGAAGGAGTAACATGTCGCAGGCAGCAGCACCCTGCAGCTGCAGGCAGCAACAGCAGAGGCGAATATTGGGCCCAACGTCATTACGAAACTCACTTCTCTGCCCTGGTCCACCTTACCATCTGGGACAGATTTCGTGGCCGATAGGCCACGGGTCAGCTCTAGTCTCTTCTCTATGGCGGGGCAAAACCGCGCATGTGGACCAATGCGCCCCCTGGAGGGCCATTTTTCGACACCCCTCACGAAGATCCTGGCCCCCGAGCGTCACAAATCGAGCCCTCGGCCCAACGACTCGCCGAAGTGGCCATCACAGGCTCCAAGGAGCGTCCAAGAGGCCCCCTCGAGGCCCCCAACAAAGCTCAAGAGGCCTCCAAGAGCCTCCAACAGTCCGCCAGCATGCCCCCAGAGGCCAACGTCCTTCAGTTTTCAATGTTGTTTGAAGGAGTTTTGCATTCTCGCTTTCTCGGCTAGCCGACGCTCCAAGACGGCCGAAAAGACCAACAAAACCGCCCCAGGACGGCCCGACAGGCCTCCAAGGGCGTCCCCAGACGGCCCAGGGAGCCCCCAGATGGCCCAAGAGGCGCCCAAGACGGCCCCAGAGGACCCCAAGCCAGGCCCAAGAGGGGGCCAACGAACGTGGAAAAACCGTGACACTCCGAGCCCTGCGCCGCCAAGAGGTCCCCAGAGGCCCCCAAGAAGCCCAGAGGGATCCGCGCGTGCGAGAAGGTCCTCTGTCTTGAGTGCCTCTCCCCAGGCCCTCCGGGGCGCCCTCCGGGGCGCAGATGCCCCCAAAACGGCCTCGGGATGGCTCCGAGAGGCTCCAGGGGGCGACAGACGGCCTCGGAGCACCCTTGGGAGCCCCGAGACAGCCTTAGAGGCCCCCCAGGGCAGGCCAGGAGGCTCCCAAGATGGCCCTGGAGGGCTTCCAGGAGAACCCCAAGAGGCCAACATCGCCCCATTTCCGAGGGGAAACGCACGTATTCACAATGTTCCGTGTGTCCGCCCCCGCAACGTCCAAGACGGCTATGCAGGCCCCCCACATCGCCCCAAGACGCGCCCAGAGGCCCCCAAAGGGCCCCACGCGGCCCCGAGACGGTTCCAGAGGCGCCCGAGACGCACCCAAGACAGCCCCGAGAGCAGCCAAGAATGGCCAACGGGACGGCTCCGAGAGGCTCCAGGGGGCGCCAAGCCGGCCTCAGAGCACCTTTGGGAGCCCCAAGACAGCCCCAAAGGCCCCCAAGGCAGGCCATGAGGCTCCCAAGACGGCCCAGGAGGGTTTCCAGGAGGGCCCCAAGATGCCCAAATCGTCAGTCCCGGCGGGAAGTGTATATTTTCGATCTATCTTGTTTCTTCGTCCTCGCAACGTCCAAGATGGCTATGCGGGCCTCCCAGCTCGCCCCAAGACGCGCCCAGACGCTCCCAGGAGGGCCCCTGAACGGCCCCACACGGCCCTGGGACAGCTCCAAAGGCGTCCAAGACGCCCCCAAGCCAGCCCCAAAAGCAGTTAATAATTGCCCAAGACGGCCCCACCGTCCCGTCTCCAAGACGGCTGTAGAGGCCCCCACCGCCCCGTCTCCAAGCCTTTCCGTTTGGACAGTCTCCAAGACGGTCTCTGGGCCGTCTGGGACGGCTCCAGAGGCGCCCGAGGCGGCTCAAGAAACACCAAAGACAGCCTCAAGAGCGCCCAATATTGGCCCAAAAGATAGCCCCAAGACTGTCCCAAGATGGTCCGCGAGGCGCCCAAGACGGCCCCACATCAAGACGGCCCCACATCGCCCCAAGACGGCCCAATACTCATTCCGAGAGACCCCCAGGAGGATTAAAAGAGGCCCCCAAACGGCCCTCAAGAGGCCTTGGATGCTTCTCTCTTGGGGAGCGTCGAACTTCCAGCATCGGCTCGGGGGCTTCTTGGACCCTCTGGGAGCCAACTCTGCGCTATTTTGGGGACGTCTTGGGCGGTGCGCTCGAAAGGTCGATTCGTGTCCTCGCACTGGGGCTCGTCTTAGGGAGTTCCGTCTCGCCGCCCTCTTGCAGAGCTCCTAGGCCGCGCCCACTCGCCCCATTGCCACCACACTACAAGGTAAAATGATCATTCGGCCCCAGCGAAGAGCAGATAAAATGATCGCGGCTAACCTCCCCGCGCAAGCTATCATGAACACGGACTGCGGCGTCAGAAGCAGCTTCTGTCCGCACCATGTCTGCCCACATGGGTGTGCTTCCACTGACACCGCCTCCACCACCGCGTTCCTGCCGTCAGGCCTGCTTGCCTGCATCCCTCGCCCACTTCGCCCTCCAACGGCCACCTCCTCTATCCGCGCCGTCCCCTCTAACCTCCCCTTACCCGCGAGGCCCCAGAGACGCCCCATTTCCACGTCCACGCCATGGCGGGCACACTCCGCGGCCGGAAGGCTTTTGGTCAGCCCTAGTCAGCTACAGAGTTGGGATCAGCGCGTGCGAGAAGGGCGAGCAGTGGCAGCCTGCGCTGGCACTGCTGAGCGAGCTGCGGGACGCGAGGCTGGAGCCCGACGTCATCTATACTATATGGCCGGAGGAACCGCGTGCCGGAAGGAAAAAGCGTCAAATGCCCGGAAACGGCTCCGAGACGCTCCGGAGGCCGCCCCGACGGCCCAAAGACGGCTCCGAGCCGCTCAAAGACGGCTCCGACCCGCTCAAGATGCCCCGAAGGCGGCCCAAGAGGGCCCCGAGACGCGCAATGATCCGGCCAAGACGCCCGAGATTGGCCCAACACGGCCCAAGAGCTCCCCAAGACGGCCCAACCGGCCCCCCAAGAGGCCTCCCAAGAGAGCCCCGAGAGGCCAAAATCGTTGATTTTCATTTGTTTTTCCGAGGTTTTTTGCTTCCTCGCTTTGTCGGCTTCCCGACGCTCCGTTTCCCCCCCAGAGGCATCCAAGACCGCTCCAAGACGGTCCAAGAGGGCCCCAAGACGGTCCAAGGCGGCCCCAGGACGGCCCCAGAGGCGCCCAAGACAGGCCAACGGGACCCCAAGATGGCCCGAAGAGCGGCCCAAGATGGCTCCAAGACGGCCCGAGGACCGCCCAAGAAGGCCCTAGGGGGCCCCAAGACAGCCCAAGGGGCGCGATAGACGAGCCCAGAGAGGCCCAAGAGGCCCCCATGAGCCCAAAAGAGGTCCCCAAGAGGTGCCACGGGGGCGGACGAGGGGACCGCCTCAGGAGGTTTTGGACGGTTTTGGGCATCAAAATCATCCGCTTTACGACGGTTTTCAAAGGATTTTGGCCTTCTCGCTTTTCCGCTTTCCGACGCTCGAAGACGGCCCAAGAGGCCTCCAAGAGCGCCCCAGAACGGCCCAAGAGGTTTACAAGAGCGGGCCAAGACAGCCCAAGAGGGCCCCAAGACGACCCAAGAGACGCTCAAGACGGCCCACGAGGGCCCGAAGCCATGCCCAAGAGGGGGCCAAGAGGGGGACCACGGACCGAAAATCCTAGCATTCCGCCCCAAGAGGGCGCCAGGAGGCCCAAACAGGCCCCCAAGAGGCCCCAAGCGGCCGCCAAGAATCCTCCGAAGAGGCCCCAGGAAGCTCCCAAGGAGCCCAGACGAGGCCCCAACAGAGGCCCCAACAGCTTCCAAAATGGCCCCAAAGAGGCCTCGAGCCCGCCTCCGAGCTTCCTCGCCGCGAGGGTGCCAACACGGCCCCAGATGGGCCCAGGACGGCCCAAGGCGCGCTCAAGACGGCCCAAGACGATTCCAAGACGGTCCCAAGAGGGTGCGCCCAGGACGGCCCAAGGACGCGCCCGTTCGGGACCTCAAGACGGGCCAAGATGGCAAGAGAGCCCCAGCCGGCAAAAATCGTTAATTTTCCAATGTTTACTGTTACACCCTTTGCGTTTCCCGCCGTTTCGGCGGTCCGATGCACCAAGAGGCCCCAGAAAGTCCCAGGAGGGTCCGAGGAAACGCCCAGGAAGGCCCCAAGACGGGCCAAGACGGACCCAACACAACCCAAGGCGCGCTGCGACGGCTCAAGACGGCTCCAAGACAGCCCCAAGAGGGTGCCAACACGGCCCCTGCTGGGCCCAGGACGGCCCAAGGAGGCGCACAGGAGGGGCCCAAGACGACTCCAAGGCGGCCCCCTCACGGTCCCAGACGGCTACAAGACAGCCCCACGAGGACCCCGATGGGCCCAGGACGGCCTACGGACGGCCCATGAAGGGCCCACGACGAACCAAGACGGCCCCATCACGGCACACGGTGCCCTCAAGACGGGCCTGGACGGCTCGAAGACGGCCATTTGAGGGAGCCAACGCGGCACCCTTCGGGCGCACACTTGGGGGGGCTGGGAGCTTGCGACAAGTCTCCCACATTCATTGTCCTGCCCCATTCTGTTCCCCTGGAGGCCTCCTCCAACCCTGTGGGCCAACCCTGGAGCCCGTGGGCCCCGCGCCGCTTGGGCAGAAGACGAACGCCGGGTCTGACAGGCCAGCTATGCCCCTGCCATTCTGTTGGGAACTCTTCGGGCCAAGCAGACCGGACCCCTGGGACAGCAGCCAATTGATATGACCCTGGGACCTCTCCGCATTCTTCGGACGAGCACCTGGGGGGCCCAGGAGATTCGGACAAGTCTTCCCCATTCCTTGCCCTGTCCCGTTCTGTTCGCCCGAAGGCCTCCGCAGACCCTCTGGGCGAACAGAATGGGACATGGCGAACAAACCCTCCCGTTGGCGGTGATGCGACTGGATCGCACCATCAAGGCGCGCCCAGAGGTGATGGCCGACCCAACAGCGGTTTCTCAAGATTTTACAGAATTTCAAATTTTCTTGAAGCTCTCTTGTGCCCTCCCTGTAGATCCTTGCGAGCCTCCCCGGCGCTTTCGGTGGCTTTCCCCGATGGCCTCCCGAGCCCTTCCCCGAGCGCTCCTGAGACGCCTCAGATGGGCTTCGACTTCGACGCACATCCCCGAGAGACTTCGAAACTGTCCTCAATAGGAGGGGGGTGAACGAGCAGTGCGCTGGGCCAAGCTGCTGCAGCGCTGCAAGAGCTCGGACACGAAGGCGCGGTCTCGCTGCCGCCGCCCGAGCCGCCGCCGTGTTTGTAGATTTTCGGTACAATCTGCGCCGTTCCTCCGAGAACCATTCCAGAAAGATGTCGTGGACGGAGTCCACGGGTCAGCCCTAGTCTCTACTACATTGCAGGAGCACGTGCGTGCCAGAAGGGCGCAGGCTCAAATGTCTCAAAACCGCCCCGGGCTGGCCCCGGGCCGCCCCGGGCCGCCCAGGCAGGCCCCAGGACATGTCGAGAGGGCCCCCAGAAGCCCCCAAGACGGCCCCGGAGAGCCCCGGCACGCTTAAAGATGGGCCCAAGACGCCCGAGATTCGCCCCAGGCGGCCCAAGAGGCGTCCAAGACGCCCGAAGAGGCCTCCCAAGAGGCCTCCCAAGAGGGCTCCGAGCGACAGAAATCGTTGTTTTCGGCCTCCTCGCCTCGTCGGCTTCCCGACGCTCCAAGACGGCCCAAGAAGCCCCCCCGACCGCTCCAAGACGGCCGAAGAGGACCCCAAGAGAGCCCCAAGACGGGCCAGGAGGGCCCCCAGACGGTCCCAAGACGCCCCAGGACGGCCCCAGGACGGCCCAGGAGGCGCCCAAGACGGCCCAAGAGGCACCCAAGACGACCCCAGGAGCGGCCCAAGACGGCCCACGACAGCCCAAGAGGCGCCGAGGCGGGTCTCAGACGGCCCCAAGACGGCCCAAGAGGCACCCAAGACGGCCCGAGAGGGCCCTAAGAGCCCCCCCGGGAGGCCCAAACGAAGGCCGAAGAGGCTCCGAAACGGCCCCCACGAAGCCTTCAGTGCCTTCAGAATTCCCTCCAGGAGCGGGGGAGCGGACGAGAGGCGACAGGCATATCGTAGGCAAAAACGCCCCAAGAGATCCCCAAACGGCCCCCACGAAGCCCTAAGTGGCTTCAGAATTGCTTCCAGGAGGGGGGGAGCGGACGAGAGGCGACCGGCATATCGAAGGCACAAAAGAACAATGTTGGACGCTCCGAGGGCCTTCGATGTTTCTCCGTTGGGGAGAGTCGTCGTAGGATCGACGATTGCCGACCGAGGGCAGCGAATCCAGTGGAGGCCCAAGAGGCCCCCAGGAGCCCAAAAGAGATCCCCAAGAGGTGCCACGGGGCTTAAAAACTGCTTCGAAGCGAGGGGGGCGGACGAGGGGACCGCCTCAGGAGGTTTTGGACGGTTTTGGGCCTCAAAATCGTCCGCTTTACGACGGTTTTGGAAGGATTTTGGCCTTCTCGCCTTTTCCGCTTTCCGACGCTCGAAGACGGCCCAAGAGGCCTCCAAGAGCGCCCCAGAACGGCCCAAGAGGTTTCCAAGAGCGCCCCAAGACAGCCCAAGAGGGCCCCAAGACGACCCAAGAGACGCTCAAGACGGCCCACGAGGGCCCGAAGACAGGCCCAAGAGGGGGCCAAGAGGGGGACCACGGACCGAAAATCCGAGCCTTCCGCCCCAAGAGGGCGCCAGGAGGCCCAAACAGGCCCCCAAGAGGCCCCAAGGGGCCGCCAAGAATCCCCCGAAGAGGCCCCAGGAGGCTCCCAAGGAGCCCAAACGAGGCCCCTACAGAGGCCCCAACAGCTTCCAAAATGGCCCCGAAGAGGCCTCGAGCCCGCCTCCGAGCTTCCTCGCCGCGAGGGTGCCAACACGGCCCCAGACCGGCCCAGGACGGCCCAAGGCGCGCTCAAGACGGCCCAAGACGATTCCAAGACGGTCCCAGGAGGGTGCGCCCAGGACGGCCCAAGGACGCGCCCGTTCGGGGCCTCAAGACGGGCCAAGATGGCAAGAGAGTCTCAGCTGGCAAAAATCGTTAATTTTCCATTGTTTACTGTTACACCCTTTGCGTTTCCCGCCGTTTCGGCGGTCCGATGCACCAAGAGGCCCCAGAAAGTCCCAGGAGGGTCCGAAGAAGAGGCCCAAACCATGCATTTCCCTTCCAGTTTTTCCAAGATTTCACCCTTCCAGTTTTTTTCAGGCTCTGGCCGCCGACGATGCCCGCAGGGAGCCCAGGAATGGCTCCAGACGGCCCCAGATACCTTCAAGCATAGCCCCAAGACACCCCAGGAGCCTCTCGACGCCGCCTACGACGGCTCCGACCCGGGCCCATGGAGACGCACCAAGGCCGCCACAGTGCGCGGCATGACCGCTCGAGGGCGAAATTTGACGCGGGGTCTGGGCCCGAGACCGAGACTTCACGTGAAGGTTCCGCGCTTCCCGAGCTTGAGGACAAAATTTAACGCGAGGGTGGCGTGTTAAATTTGTCCGCGGCACCCGCGGTCCATCGCTGAGGCTTCTGGCCTGCCGCGGACAGATGTATCACACTGCCCATGCGTTAGAGTTCGTCCTCGAGCTCTCCACGGCTCCAGGAGCGTCTTGGCGTCCAGGAAGCCAACATGGCGCCTAACATAATTGAGTGCGCCTGGCGGCATTCCCCCTCCCCCCGCTAGTGGACGTAGTCCACGGGTCAGCTCTAGTGACTTCTCTATGGCGGACATCAGCGCGTGCCAGAAGGGCAAAACAGCGCATGTGGACCAATGCGCCCCCTGGAGGGCCATTTTTCGACGCCCCTCACGAAGATCCTGGCCCCCGAGCGTCGCAAATCGAGCCCTCCGCCCAAAGACGCGCCGAAGTGGCCACACGAGGCTCCAAGGAGCGTCCACGAGGCCCCCTAGAGACCCCCAACAAGGCCCAAGAGGCCTCCAAGAACCTCCAACAGTCCTCCGAAGCATGCCCCCAGAGGCCAAAATCCTTACTTTTTTCAATGGTTTTCGAAGGAGTTTTGCCTTCTCGCCTTCTCTGCCAGCCGACGCTCCAATACGGCCGAAGAGACCCACAAGACCGCCCCAGGACGGCCCAGCAGGCCTCCAAGCGCGTCCCCAGACGGCCCAGGGAGCCCCAAGATGGCCCAAGAGGCGCCCAATACCGCCCCAGAGGACCCCAACCCAGAGGCCCCCAAGAAGCGCAAAGCAAGCCCCACGAGGCCCCAAGACGGCCCTCAAGAGGCCCCAAAGCTGCCTCCAGAGGAACCCCAGAGGCCTCTGAGCCATTACCCGGGCACAGGCACGGTGGCGGATTTCGCCGAAGGCCATGAGGCTTCCTAAACGGCCCCACGGTGGCGGCTTTCCCTGACGGCCCTGAGGCTTCCTAGACGGCCCAAGACGGCCACACGACTCCCAGGATACCTCCTATCCGCCTCCGGAGCTTCCCGTGATACCTCCCAGACAGCGCTCGAAGACTCCCTCGATAGCTTCCACAGGCCCGAGACAGCTCCCAGATGCTCCATCTGGGCTCGAAGCAGCGCTCCAATAGAGCTCGACCGCGGAGACATCTGCCCCAATCCCTCAGGAAAGCGGCAACTTGCGCTCTTCCCCTGCTCGTCGTCTTGAAAGCATCCGACACTGCCATACAGGCACCCAAGATCGCACAAAGACCCCTCAGGTGCCTTCCATCACGGCGTCAAAACGGCCCTGGACGGCCCCAAAACGGCTCCCAGCGCACCATGGGCCTCTGATGCTTGTTTGGCGCTCCCTGCCGGATTTGGCCCCAAATTCACTCGGCCTTTTTGTCGGTCTGGAGCCCTCTCCGCGGCCTCTTGGGATCATGCCGTGCTTCGCATTTCTGGTGGCCCAGAATCGCCTCGGCCGACCCCAGAAGCGCGCGCGGCCGCCCAGGGCGCGTCGGGCGGGATTCTGGGTCGGCGGCGCGGTGGCCCAGAATCGGTCCCGCCGTTTCTGGGCGGGCGGCCATTATGGAGCTATCTTGGAGGCGTGTTGGTGGTCTTGGGGCCCCTCAGATGGCCCCCAGACGGCCCCAGAACGCCCCGAGAAGGTTGGACCCAACGCACCGACAAAGCCCGACCCGATCCCAAGGGAGCCCTTGAGCGCCCCAAATGGGGCGTCCAGAAGTTCCTCCGTCTCCTCGCTCAGCGATGTGTGGCAGGCGAACATGACGCCATTCATCCTGATCGCCTTGCGGCAGCACCCCTTCACCCCGCAAGTGGACGTAGTCCATGGGTCAGCCCAAGTCTCTTCTACAATGCAGCGACGTTTGCGTGCGAGAAGGATTTTGTCTCGGAAGGCTCCCTGGGCCCTCTGGGGCGCCCTGCGAGTCCCCCAGGCGCTCCGAAACGGCTCCAGGGGGTCCCAAGACGCCCCAAGACGGCTCAGAGACGCTCAAGGGGGCGCCACAACGCCCCGAGATGACCCCAAGCGAGCCCCAGGATGGCCCCAGAGGCTTGCAAGGCAGGCCAGGAGGCTCCCGAGACAGCCTAGGAGGACCCCAGGAGAACCCCAAGAGGCAAAAATGGTCCCATTCCCTTCGGGAAGCGAGTATTTGTCCTATGCCTGCTCTTTTCGTCTGCACAGCTCCAAGACGGCTGTACAGGCCCCGCGATCGCGCCTAGACGCACCCAGGAGGGTCCAACAACGGCCCGAGACGGCCCCGAGACGGCTCCAGAGGCCAAGAGGCACCCACGACAGCCCCAAGAGCTCCCAGTCACGGCCTAAATACGGCTCAGAAGCGCTCAAGAGGGCGCCCGGACACCTGAAGAGGACCGCATGCGAGCCCCAGGATGGCCCCAGAGGCTTGCAAGGCAGGCCAGGAGGCTCCCGTGACGGCCCAGGAGAACCCCCAGGAGAGACCCGAGGGGCAAAATCGCCCCATTCCCTGCAGGAAACACATATGTGTCATGTGTTCTTTCTGTCCGTTTGCACAGTTTCCAAGACGGCTGCACAGGCCCCCAAGATCGCCCCAAGACGCCCCCAGACGCCCCCGACCCTCTGGGAGCCATCTTTGCGCCATTTGGGGACGTCTCGGGGCGGTGCGCTCGAAAGATCGATTCGTGTCCTCGCACTGGGGCCCGTCTTAGGGTGTTCGTGGGCCCCTCTGGGGCCGTCTGGGAAGCCACTTGGCCCGTCCTGGAGACCTTTTGGGCCGTCTCGCCGCCGTCTTGCAGGCTTCTTAGGCCGCGTCCACTGGCCCCATTGTCACCACACTAATAGATAACATTATCATTCGGCCCCGGCGAAGGGCAGATAAACTTCTCACGGTTACCCTCCCCGCAGAAGATATGATGAACACAGACTGCGGCGTGAGAAACAGCTTTTGTCCACACCATGTCATGTCTACATGGGTGTGCTTACACTGACACCGTCTGCGCCACCGCGTTCCTGCCTTCAGGCCTGCTTGCTTGCATCCCTCGCCCACCTACACCTCCAGCGGCCACCTCCTCCATCCACGCCGTCCCCTCCAACCACTCCTTACCCGCGAGGCCCCAGAGACGCTCCACTTCCACGTCCACGCCATGGCGGGCAGACTCCGCGGCCGAAAGGCCGCGGGTCAGGCCTCGTCAGCTGCACCACTGGGATCAGCGCGTGCGGGAAGGGCGGGCAGTGGCAGCGGGCTCTGGCGCTGCTCGGCGAGATGTGGGCGGCGAAGCTGGAGCTTGACGCATGTCACAAGAGCCCGAAATTGACCCCGAGCGGCAGCGGGACACCCGCTCGCGGCAGGCCCCCTGCCAGCCATTGCCTGCCGGGACGGCAGCTTCGGGTGCCCCAGGAATGCTCACGAGACCCTTGTTCGACGGAGTGACCCTTGGTGCGGGCACACCGGGCTCCCCAGACGACTGAACGCGATACGATAGCAGCGTCTTTCGCGTTCGGGTTTGGCCTCCCCGCGGCTCAGAATCTCGTGCACCAAAGGCCACTCTTGCCAAGGGTTACTCTTATTTCTTGTCGAGAGGAGGCGCCCGAGATCCCACGTAGCACCCTGCAATTTGGGATACGAGTGCGGGGGCGGGCGCGGGGTAGGTCGCGGGGCGGTGGGTCGCGGGGTGGGTCGCGGGGTGGGTCGCAGGATGGGTCGCGGGTGGGTCGCGGGTGGGTCGCGGGGGGGACGACGACGACGACGACGACGACGACGACGACGACGACGACGACGACGACGACGACGACGACGACGACGACGACGACGACGGCGGCGACGACGACGACGACGACGACGACCACGACGACGGCGACGACGACGACGACCACGACGACGACGGCGGCGACGACGACGACGACGACGACGACGACAACACACAACAATAACAATCAACAAACAAGCAGAACTCGGGCCACGGAACCCCTCTTGACCCACGCACCCGGGGATTGCGCAAGACCGTTCGGCCCCCTCATCCCGACGAGCTCCCTGGGCACTTCCGGGACAGCGGCATGTGGCCACGGGCTTCTGGCGTCCCTCGACCCCTGCCGGCCGTCGCACTCGGGTGCTCTGCCGTGGGGGAGCGCCTGCGCCGGACCGAGGAGGCGCCCGAGCTCTGCCGCGGCCCACGCCGCCCTCCGGCAGTGCCCCGCGTGGCCCCAAGAGGCTCCGCCGAGGTCTGCGGCTCCGCCAGCGGGTCCCCGAGGGACGGGCATCGCAGAGTTAGTTCCAGAGGCTTCTCGCGCATGTTCGTGCCCTCCGCTTGTCGGCTCCCCCTCGGCGGCGTGCCCCAGAGGCCCCCACGAGGGCCCAAGAGGCCTGCAAGAGCACCCGAGGTACCTCCAAGATGGCCCAAGGTGGACCCATCCAGTCTCCCAATATTGTCCCACGACAGCCAGCAGACGGCTGCAGGATGGCCCAAGACCGCCCAAGAAGGCCCCCAAGATTTCCCCAGCGACGGCCCCCAGACCCCCAGAGCGACCCCACAATTGCCTTCAGAGGTCCACAGATGGACCCGAGAGGACCCACAAACTCCAAGAGAGGCCCAGGGCAGCCGAAGAGGGGTCGGATGCTGCCAAACAGCTCCAAGTCAGTCCAAGAGCGCGCCAAGACGGCCCAAGATGGGCCTTTGGACGGGCCAAGAAGCTCCAAAGAAGACTCCAAGAGCACACCCAAGAGAGTCTCCACATGCAAAAACTATCCTTAGACTGTAAGGATTTTCGCACGCTCGCTTTTTCGGGCCTCGGGGTTGCCAGGACGGCCCAAGAGGCCCTCCAAGTTTGACCAACGACGGTCCTGGAGTCCCCCAAGAGGGCGCCAAGACGGCCCGACAAGGTTTCAAGACGGCCTACGTTGCTCCCAACACGGTCTGAGAGGCCGCCAACATGGCCCCAAGATGGGCTCAAGGCGGCCCAGCAACACACCAAGATGCCCCAGGGCAACCCCCGACCGTCCCCAGACCCCCCCCCCAGCAGCTCACAGTGGCCCAGGGGCTGCCCAGATGGCTCCAGCAGGCTTGGGAGGGCGCCATGGGAGCCCGAGAGGCCCCAAGGAAGGCTCCAGGAAGGCGCCCAAATTGGCCCTGAAGCGCCCCCCTGCGCAACACAAGAAGAGACCACGTGTCCGGCCATGCGCGCGTCGAGGCAATTGGGAGATTCATGTCGTCCCTCGTCAGTTGTCTCTCATTGCTCCTCGCTCCTCTCTCCTATCTAGCTCCGTGCTCATCTCCCCTTGCTTCTCTTCGCTCCTCGCTCCTTTTTCCTGGGCCCTGACATTTTCCGCACCGCCAGGGCCTCTCGCGGCCTCGGAGTGGCCCGACGCGCCTCGAAGACGACCCCCAGACAAGATGTAATCATGACGGCCCTCAGCAGCAAGCGGTAGTAAGCGGCAGCGAGCGGACGAAGCAACGAAGCAAGCAACAGAGAATTCCGGCGATCAGGCCACGAGTTGCAGGCCACCAGGCCAGCAACTCCGCAAACAGGATTGCAGTCAGGAGGTCAGACAGACACGCGATCCTCACCCATGCATGCGAGCAAGATTTCGTGGCCGCCGGGACAATTCTGATCCGATCATGATGTTTGCCGTGGACGTATTCCACAGATCAGCCCCAAGTCATCTACACCGCTGGGGTCAGCGCCTGCGGGAAGGGCGGACAGTGGCAGCGGGCTCTGGCGCTGCTCGGCGAGCTGTGGGCGGCGAGGCTGGAGCCCGACGCCTTGCTGGGGCTGCGCTCGGGCTGCGCCGCCGATCTGGGAGCTCTGGGGTCCTCTGGATTAGTGATTTGATAGCAATACTACAAAAAACAACGAGGCAAGATTTGCTATTTTTGCTATTTTTGGGTTGGCTTTTGGAAGATTGCTCGAGCTACCGGCTACTCTTGCAGGCAAAGTGCAGACGTTCTAGTCTCAAGTATCGAGATGCCTGACATATGTCTGCTACGAGAGCTCAGACGGGCACAGGCCCTGGGATGACGCCCGAGAGCCCGCAAGCAGCGTGACTGCGTGCACGAGAGCCTCCCCCCCTAAAGAGCCTCCGAGCGAGCGTGCCGTGTCAAATATTTTGTCCGCGCCCCAGGGTTGCGGAAGTCGGTTAATTCATGGAGAGGAAGCATGTTGCCAAACATGTCCCTGATGTCTAAAACATGTTCAAAACATGTTTGAAATATGCAAAAACATGTTTGAAACATGTTTTAAACCTGCTTGTCACATCTTAAACACACTTTCGATTCAACGATCGGATTGTTAGAGTGTCCATTGTCATGGCATCCACAACCCTAGGGGCCGAGCGCTGAGCTGAGGCCCTGGCCCTGGCGCGGACAAGATTTAACATGCTGCCCAGGCGTTGCATTTTGCCCTCGGGCACAAACGGACGCGCCGAGTCGCCCGATTCTCGGAATCCGAGGGCTCCAGCGACAGTCCCAAGAGGCCCAAACCATGCATTACCCTTCCAGTTTTTCCAAGGTTTCACCCTTCCAGTTTTTTCAGGCTCTGGCTGCCGACGATGCCAGCAGGGAGCCCCAGAATGGCTCCAGACGGCCCCAGACACCCTCAAGGATAGCCCCAAGATGCCCCAGGAGCCTCCCGACGCCGCCTACGACGGCTCCGACCCGGGCTCATGGATACCCATCAAGGCCGCCACAGTGCGCGGTATGACCGCCCGAGGGCGAAATTTGACGCGGGGTCTGGGCCCGAGGACGAGACTTAACGTGAGGGCCCCGCGCCCCCCGAGCTTGAGGACAAAATTTAACGCGAGGGTGGCGTGTTAAATTTTGTCCGCGGCTCCCGGGGGTCCATCGCCGAGGCCTCCGGCCTGCCGCGGAAAGATTTAACACGCTGCCCATGCAGGCATTGAATTTATGTCCTCAAGCTCTCCACGGCTCCAGGGGCGTTTCGGCGCGGAAGGACTGGAGATGCGCTTTTCGGAAATCCCCCCCCCCTTCCCTGCTGAAAGAGACGTAGTCCACGGGTCAGCCCATAGACGCCGGCCCCCGGGGGCGGGGCGACCGCCGAGAGTAGGCCCTGCACGCGGAGCCCGAGACCACCGGCAACCTGGGAAGCCAACGTGGCGCCTAACGTAATTGAATGCGCCTGGCGGCACGCCCCCTCCCGCCGCGAGTGGACGTAGTCCACGGGTCAGCCCCACGCTCAACGCTCCTCGGGTTGGCGAGCAGTGGCAGCGAACCGGCCCCCTCCGGGCCGCTCCCCTCGGGCGCTTCGGGCCGCCCCAGGCGGCCCTCGGGGCCGCTGCCGAGCCTTCCGAGCGGCCGCGAGCGCGCAGCGGACGGTCCAAGACTGCCCCAGATCGACGCGGGACGCCCCGCGGACGGTCCCAGGACGGCCCCAGACGCTCCCAAGCCGCTCCCTGAGGCCCCCCAAAGGGCCCCCACGAGCCCTGAGGCTCCCTAAAGGGCCACCACGAGCCAACAAATCGCCCCATTCCCGATTCGCCTTTTGGGTCTGCAGAGCGTCCAAGACGGCCGGATGAGCCTCGAAGACCGCCTCAACATTGCCCCAGAGGCACCCAAGAGAGCCCCAAGACGGCCCAAGAGGGCCCCAAGACGGCCCCAGGGAGCCCCAAAACAGCCCAAGGCGGACCCCAGAGGGCACGACAAGGCTCCCAGGAAAGCCCCGAGAGGGCCACAGGAGGCCCCCAAGAGAGCCCAAGACTGCACCACGAGGGCCCCTAAGACAGCCCGAGCCTTCCAAAACGGCCCAAGAGGGCCCCAGGACGGCTCCAGAGAGTCCTGAGACGGCCCAAGAAAGCTGCGAACGGATTCAAGAGGCTCCCCAGAGAGCCCCAAGTGGGCTACGGGAGGCGCCGCCAACACGGCCCGAGTCACCCTGCCGATTACAGGGAATTCGACGCTCGAGCCATACTTCCTCGTCACCTCCACGCCTGATCTCACGCTCGCCCCGTTCCAGGAGCTCCTGACGGTGATGCAGTGGGACATGCTGCTGGCAGCAGACGCATGCGCACTCCCGCGCCGTCGCATTCCGCCGCCCGCCGTCGCCGTCGCCAAGGGGTTCCCCTCGAGGTCACGCGGCTTTCCCGATAGCCTCCAGAGTGTCCCCCGAGAGTCTCCCGAGGCCTCCAGCAAGCTCCCGCGATAACCGACACGGGCCCCGAGAACCACCGAAGAGGTCCCCGAAAGCTTCCCAAGTGGCCCGCAGCGCCGTCGCATTCCGCCGCCCGCCGCCGCCGTCGCAAAGGGGTTCCCATCGAGGTCACGCGGCTTTCCCGATAGGCTCCAGAGTGTCCCCCGAGAGTCTCCCGAGGCCTCCAGCAAGCTCCCGCGAGAACTGGCACGAGCCCCGAGAACCACCCAAGAGGTTCCCAAACGCTTTCCTAGGGGCCCGCGCACGATCAGAGTCGTAACGGGCGTTGGAAGGCCAGGCGTCCGGCCAGAAGGAAACTCGAAGAGGCCGCGACAACCGCTGAAGGGTCTTCATCCAGTGTCGTCGTCGTCGTCGTCGTCGTCGTCGTCGTCGTCGTCGTCGTCGCCGCCCGAGAACCGCCCGAGAGGTCCCGATAGCCCCTGGAGCGTCCCCCAGAGCCCCCCGAGGCCCCCGGCAAGCTCCCACGAGAACCGACGCGAGCCCCGAGAATCATTTGAGAGGCCCCCAAAAGCTTTCCTAGGGGCCTGCGCGCGACCAGAATCGTACCAGGCGTTCGACGGCCAGACGTCCGGCCGGGAGGAAATTCGAAGAGGCCGCGACAACCGCTGAAGGGTCTTCACCCGAGGTCGTCGTCGTCGTCGTCGTCGTCGTCGTCGTCGTCGTCGTCGTCGGCGTCGGCGTCGGCGTCGGCGTCGGCGTCGTCGTCGTCGTCGTCGCCGTCGACCGAGAACCACCCAAGAGGTCCCCGAAACGTTCCCTAGGGGCCCGCACACAGTCAGAATCGTAACAGGCGTTTGAAGGCCAGACATCCGGCCATCAGGAAATTCGAAGAGGCCACGACAACCGCTGAAGGGTCTTAATCCGATGTCACCGTCGTCGTTGTTTTCGTCGTCGTCGTCGTCGCCCGAGAAACACCCAAGAGGTTCCCAAAGTTTCCCTAGGGGCCCGCGCACAATCATAATCGTAGCGGGCGTTTGAAGGCCAGGCGTCCGGCCGGAAGGAAATTCGAAGAGGCCGCGACAACCTGTGAAGGGCCTTAATCCGAGGTCGTCGTCGTCGTCGTCGTCGTCGTTGTCGTTGTCGTCGTCGTCGTCGTCGTCGTCGTCGTCGTCGTCGTCGTCGTCGTCGACCGAGAACCACCCAAGAGGTCCCCGAAACGTTCCCTATGGGCCCGCACACGGTCAGAATCGTAACAGGCGTTTGAAGGCCAGACATCCGGCCATCAGGAAATTCGAAGAGGCCACGACAACCGCTGAAGGGTCTTAATCCGATGTCACCGTCGTCGTTGTTTTCGTCGTCGTCGTCGTCGCCGCCCGAGAAACGCCCAAGAGGTTCCCAAAGCTTCCCTAGGGGCCCGCGCACAATCAGAATCGTAGCGGGCGTTTGAAGGCCAGGCGTCCGGCCAGAAGGAAATTCGAAGAGGCCGCGACAACCTGTGAAGGGCCTTAATCCGAGGTCGTCGTCGTCGTCGTCGTCGTCGTCGTCGTCGTCGTCGTCGTTGTCGTTGTCGTCGCCGTCGTCGTCGTCGTCGTCGTCGTCGTCGTCGTCGTCGTCTCCGTCGTCGTCGCCGTGGCCGCCGTCGTCGTCGTCGTCGTCGTCGTCGCCGTCGCCGTCCTCAGCCGCCCGGGACTCCAGAGCCTTCCAAGACACTTCGCCGCCCGACACCAAAATAGGTCTGGAAGCGCGATGCCGTGGCACCTCCCTCAACGAAACTTTTGGGGACCCCCACTCTAGCCCCCAAAGCCCCCCCCGAGACACCCAAGAGGACCAGAAAAACCACAGGGGGAACTCAACAGCCCACCAAACATGCCCTTTGAGACGTCTCGGAGCTCCCCCATGACGCCCCACAGCTCTGTCCGCCAGCGACACGCCGAGGCATACATCTCTCGCCGACATGTTTCATGCACCCCCTGATAGCCCGTGGAGTGTCCCCGACACCTTCCCCAGGTTTCCCGCAAGCTCCCACGATAACCGACAAAAATCCCGAGAACCACTGAAGAGGTCCCCAAAAACTTCCCTGAAGGCCCGCAACCACCCAGAATCGTAAGAGGCGATACCAAACCAGAAGACCGGCCGGAAGGAAATTCGAAGAGGCCACCATAACCGCCACGCGGTATTCATTCGAGGCGTTCGATTGCAAGTGACGGCGTTGGGCCCACAGGCGCGTTTCCAATTGCGGTCCTGGGTGGCCCGCGTCCACGGCGCGAAGACGAAACACAAGGGTCTCGCACAGGAGACCAGGACCAAGCTGCCGCCCCGTGTCGTTCACGGACACTGTGTGAAACCGCCCACACAAACAGCCCAATCCCCCAAAGGCTCCCCATGACTCACCAACGCCTCCCAAGAAGGCCGAGGGTCCACCCTCCATGCGGCTTCGAGGAGCTGCTCGGGTCCGGCTTCGCCAGCTGCATTTTATGTTGCGATAGTGTTGATTCACCCCATAGGTGCACACTAGTCAGCTACAGTGCTGGGATCAGTGCGTGCGAGAATGGCGAGCAGTGGCAGCGGGCGCTGGCCCTGCTGAGCGAGATGCGGGAGGCGAAGCTGGAGTTCGGCGTCATCAGTTTCAACGCTGGGATCAGTGCGTGCGAGAAGTGTGAGCAGTGGCAGCGGGCGTTGGCGCTCTTGAGCGAGATGCGGGGAGCGATGCTGGAGCCCGACGCAATCAGTGCTACAGTTTTTGGCGCTGCGCGTGCGAAGAAGACGTGTTGAAACAGCTGCCCCCGAGGGCCCGAAATGCCCTGGAGCGGCCCAGGGCCCCCGGGGCGCCTGGAGCGCCCGTGGGGCCTTCAAGAGGGCTCCAACCGCTGTAGAAGAGGGCCTCCGCCGGGTCCCCATGCGGCAGCTCCCCACCTTGGCCCCAAAATGACCCATCATTCATTTTCCAACGTTTTCCGCATTCTTCATTTTACGTGCCAAGACCGTCCCCGCACGGCTCCAGGTCTTTCAAAGATCGTCCCACGATGACCCAAGAGGCCCTCGCGAACCCACCAAAACGGCCCATGAGGGCCCCAAGACGGCCCAGAACAGGCCTCGGAGAGCTTCACACAGCTTCCAGTTGCACCGAAAGTCGCCCCAAGAGCTGCCCAGGAGGGCATAACAAGACTCCCAGACGGCCCCAGATTCCACCCTGGCCCCACGCTTCCCCAAAAGGCCCCCAGGACGGCCCAAGCGGGCCCACGAGGACTCCGAAGACGTCCCCACGAGGCAAGAATTTCAGCAACGAAGCCAAGCATCGGAGATAAACTAGCATGGGTTTCTGTATCCAGAAGCCCGGAGGAAAGGAAGTTCGAGTCGACTACAGGAACGGCGTCATCATCATCAATCGGGCCGGCAACCGGGTGAAGGTCGGGGAGTGGACGTTGAACGGGGAGGAGGACTACGTCCACCTCGATTCAGACAAGCTGAAGGAGGCGGGGGTGGAGGTGGAGGGGAAGACAGTCGACGAAGCGGTGAAGGCAGCCCTTGTGGAATAGGGCGTGCAGGAGTCGCATCGCGAAGTCATGTCACAACGAACCAGTCGGAGCACAGGCCCGGAGAAGGTTTTGAGTAAGCAAAGTACACACAAATTTACAGTAATTCAATACAACGTTCATTATTGAATCGCTTCGCTCATTCCGCCGGCCCGTGATATGGCATCGCTGGTTTTTGTCTGTGTGTTCGTTGCCCATGTTGCGCTCTTGGGGGCGGGTGTCGTTCGGACGCGTTGCGTGGGGAGTTTTGATGGTGAAGCAGTTCCCTGGGGGTCGTCTCTCGATGGGGCGAAATAGAGTCGTCGTCAAGATGCTTCTTTGGGGGGCCTCTTGGGGTCTGTTGAGAGGCCGTTCGGGGGCGCCTGGGAGACATGTTTGAAGCCTTCTGGGGCTTCTTTTGGGCCTCCTGGGAGTCTCCTGGGGCCTCTTGGCGACATCTTGGGGCCTCTTGGAGGCCTCTTGGGGCCTCTTTGGGACCTCCTGGGCGCCTTCTGGGACGGAGGGCTCCATTTTTGAGTTCTCGGTATCCCTCCTGAGTCCCTCTTGGGCCCGTCTTGGGGCCTCTTGGTCCGTCTTGGGCGGCACTTGGGCCGTCTTGAGGGCTCTCTTGGGTCGTTTCGGCGCCGTCTTGGGAGCTTCGTGGGCCGTCTTGGAGCGGTCTTGGGGGCCTCTTGGGCCGTCTTGGAGCGTCCGGAAGCCGAAAAAGCCAGAACACAAAAAACATCGGAAAAACCAATGAAAATCAACGATTTTGGCCTCTTGGGGCTCTCTTCGGAGGCCTCTTGGAAGGCTCTTGGGGCGTCTTGGAGGCCTCTTGGGCTGTCTTGGGGGCCTTTTGGGCCGTCTTGGGGTCATCTTCGGCGTCTTCGAGCGCTCTTTGGGCGTCTCGGGGGCCTCTTGGGCAGTCTTGGGGGCCTCTTGGGGCACTCTGAGCGCGCTCTGGGGAGCCTGAGAGGCCGCACCCAGAAGGAAAACCATCTCTGAGTAGACTTGGTCGGGCGGCGGTCGGGCGGCGGTCGGGCGGCGGCCGGGCGTTGGTCGGGGTACTTTTCGCCGGGGGACCCCCAGGGGCCGCCCCGCGCGCGCGAACTAGAAATACTGTTAATACTGTTAACCAGTTACCGGAGATCTTAGCACGCCCTGGCCCGTTGGGCCGGCGAATTTGATGCTTTTGGATGATCGTCTTGATCGTTGCTTGGGGGAGATTGGTGAAAGACATTGGGATGTAATTATTTTCGCGGAGACGTGGAGGGAACAATCGCGAGAATCGTGGGAGCACTCGGACGGCCACCATTGGTTCGGCAGCGGAGGGACGGCGCGCAAAGCGGGTGTATGGTTCCTTTTGCGCAAGCGCTGGAGCCATTTTTGTTTTCACCCTTTGTCGAACAGAATGGCAATTCTGGATTTTCGTATTGTGGGATTTTGTATGATCAGAGTCGCTGCAATTTACATGCCTCACGCACGACAGCCCGAGGAGGAAGTGGAGGCAGTGCGTGTTCTGTTGGAGTCGAAATGTCGGGAGGCTCGGAACAACGTTTTTTATATGATTGTGGCTGGAGACTTCACTGCGGAAGTGGGGCCGCAAGCAGAGCACGACGAAGACGAGGTGGTTGGCCGAAACCCAATGCCGCACAGAAGCGACAGGGGCAAGACGCTGGTCTTTTGGTCTGCTTTACACAACTATGCCATCGCCAACACCTTCTTCACCGCACGTTCGAGGACACGTGGACGTATAAAAACGGAGACCGGGAAAACCAATCGGATTACACATTGGTGGACAAAAAGATTGTTTCCATACGTTACTTGCTGCGCCGTGTCTTCAGACATCGACATTGGATCAGACCATCGACCTGTTTGTCTAGATATTCAGCTGCCCGCGCGTGCCCGGAGGAAGCGTGACCGCAAGCCGCGCCATCATCCATGGAGCCCTGGCTCATCTTACATTGCTTTATTGGAAGAGCGGCTACGCAGCTTGGATGGGATCAGTGCCGCACCACATGAACGGGTTTCTGCATTGAATGAAAGCATGGTGTGGGCTGCCCGGGAAGACGAGCATCGAGGTCGACGCATTCACTTTGCATCACCCACGCTTGATCTGGACAAGAAGATACACGCCTTGATTGCTGACCGCCGCCGCCTGCAGGAATCCAGTCTCCCGGAGCATCTTCGAAAAGAAATCCGGAAAAACTGGGGCAAGCAGATGCAGAAGTTGATCCGCACGAGGCGAACGATGACCACTCAGAATAAGATCGAGACCACCCTGGCTGAGTTCAAGGGCGCGAAATAGTTGAGGCAAATGCGGGGGAACCGCAAGAAAGATCACATAATAGAAATGAAAGGCGTCGACGGCACGATTCACCGCAATCGTCCTGACATTGCCGAGGTTTTCGCTCAATTCTACGAGACGCTCTACGCTAGTACCAGGCAGGGCAACCAGGAGCACGTCTACGACGAGCAGGCCTGCCAACAAATCCCCGCATTCACCATGGACGAGCTTGCCGCTGCAGTCAAAAACATGAAGACGGGCAAAGCTGCAGATGACCAGGGTGTGCGCGCAGAGCTTTTCAAAGTGGATTCACTTGTGCTTCGAGAGTTGATTCTCGATGCGTGCAATCAACTTCTGTGCCCCGCGGCGGCCATTCCAGCAGATTGGCTCTCAGCAAAGATCGCAGTGTTGTACAAGAAAGGCGATGCCGCGCCTCCCTCGAATTACACACCAATAGCAATACTTTCGATATTGTACAAGCTCTTCAGCCGAATGCTCTGTAGCAGATTACGAGACCGTGTGGTTAGAGAGCAGTCTGTTGATCAAGCTGCGTATCGCCCGGGGTACAGCACAATCGACCACCTGATGTCCACGACGTTCCTGTTTGAAGCCTGCCGAAATTACAACGTTGAAGTATGGGCCGCAATGGTTGATTTTGAAAAAGCCTTCGACACGGTGGAGCACGACACTCTTTGGAAGGCGCTTGAACAACAGTGCATACCCATTGAGTACATCAACGTGCTGAAACGACTGTGCAAAGTGCAGTCGGCATCAGTGGCCGCAGGGGACAGGAGTCGTGCATTCAACATATCCCAGGGAGTAAAGCAGGGCGATCCTATCAGCTCGTTTTTACTAATTGTTGTCATGGAACAGATTTTCAGGACGCTGAAAAAAAGAGATGGAATCATTTGAACACTCGACGCGTAGGGGAGTACTACGGCAGTGTTGTGGACGATATTGATTTCTTTTTGAGTCACTTACGCTTCGCGGACGATGTTCTTTTACTGGCCACGAACAAAAAGGACATAGGCCGCATGATTGTGGACTTAGAAACGGAAGCGTCGAAATATGGCCTCCAGGTGCACATGGGCAAGACCGTTGTTCTCACCAATTTGGAAGTCAGACCGGCTACCGTCAGATGCTGTGGCAAATATGTACGCGTGCTGCAAAAGGGCGAAGCAGAGAAATATTTAGGCCAGAGACTGTGTTTCGACGACTACCACGGAGTTGAGCTCGACCACAGAATGGCAGCAGGATGGGCATCTTTCTGTGCCCAAAAGGAGATCTTGTGTAATCGCCGTGTCCTTCTCAGGGACCGCATGAAGCTGTTTAACGCCACGGTCACGCCGGCTGCTCTCTACGCTTCCGCAGCGTGGAAGCTGTCCGCCGAGCAGGAGAGGCGGCTACGGACAACACAGCGGAACATATTGCGAAACATGGTGGGCACAGGCCGCAGCCCAGAAGAGTCTTGGGTCGAGTACATCCAGAGGGCGACGCGCGCCTGCGTATCGCTAGCGCATCGGCATGGCGGGGAAGACTGGGCAGTTGTTTTCTGGAGGTCGAAATTGAAGATTGTTGTCAAAACTACAGATGTCCAGGACGGGCGCTGGAACGCCCGACTCGCCAGCTGGAAACCGTGGTTTCGTGTGCACGCAAAGAGAAGTGTCGGAGGCCAGCACAAGCGCTGGTGTGACTGATTTTGTTTTACTATATTCCCTGCTTAGCGATGCCTTGTTTCACATGTTCCGTGGTGGCGTCCGCCCCCTCCCTCAGGGCCGTTGTTTTTTCCTTGTTCCTATGTGTGTTTCGAATGTTCCCCAAACTCGCGCCATGCGAGGCCCCCCCGTGATACCCAAGAGGC